AGTAGGTAGTAGGTAGTAGGTAGTAGGTAGTAGGTAGTAGGTAGTAGGTAGTAGGTAGTAGGTAATAGGTAGTAGGTAGTAGGTAGTAGGTAGTAGGTAGTAGGTAGTAGGTAGTAGGTAGTAGGTAGTAGAAAGTAGGTAGTAGGTAGTAGGTAGTCGGTAGTAGGTAGTAGTAGTAGTAGTAGTAGTAGTAGTAGTAGTAGTAGTAGTAACAGTGCTAGGTCGCCGTACTACTAATAGCCCCCCCCACCCCCGAGCAAGAAGAAATGCTTTCGCGAGTGCCTTCCTTGAAACGGAGTAAGTAAGTCAATACTTGGTGAGGAACCCTTCAATAATCATCAATAATCCCTTTCAGGAACCTCTAAGCAAGCCCTCATCAAGGAACCCCCCAAAAGGGAACCTTCAAGGGCGGGCCCCCTCCTTCTTCAGTCTGTGTGTTTGCTCCTTGCAGGACAAAGCACCATTTCATTGCTCAACCAACCCGCTTTCGTGGTTTCCAAATTGCATCCCTTGCCACGCCAGCAGTGGCGTTGCTGGGACTAGGGTTGGCATCCAAGCTTTAGATGCTTAGCTTTTAGCCGCTAGCCGACGCGAAGCATTGCAAGTTCCGGTCGTGGGAGAGTTGTGCAGGTTCGGAGGAATCCAAACCTCTCCCAAGCATCGGCCCCTTCGCGAGGACTCGCCTGAGGATCCGCTGAAAGCGCAGCATCTGCGGCCCGACGAGGCGACGCCTTGCAGCCTCAACCAAGCTTGGTCGAGATGCCAAGCTCCAGTCTGGCGCAGGCACATGGCCGTGTGCAGGAGCTGCTGCAGCAGCGGCTACAGCAGATTCTCCAACGAGGCCAGGGAACCCCAATTTGGATTCCGGAATCTCGGTGCTTTTGTTTTCAAGTCGGTCCAGGGCAGCAAGAGCGCCTGGATGTGGCAAAGCTCCAGGAGCCACTTGGCTGTGCACTGTCATTCATTGTTGGGGTTCAAGCTGGGCTCTGAATTGGGGTCATTTGGGGTCTACACTTCCAGGGCGGGCAGAAGGCATGCTGCCGTGCTTCGCGGCAGCGTCGGGAAATTTGCATGGCAGACTTTGGTTCCGCCTCCAGATCCCGCTGAGCCGACGTCATCCTCAGCCCTCTACATTCCCCTTAGTGCGGCACTCAAAAGATGTATCAAGAATCTATCTTACGCCAGTTCAGATGCTACGATATCTATCATTTTGAGCGAAGCCAAGATCGCACAGGGAAGTGATATGAAACAGTTTCGATGCCTGTCTTTCAAACCACTCCCTCTGGCTTCCTACGCTTCTCCCCCACTTCTAGGCTTCAGCAGCTTCTTGTTGGCCTGGGACAGTGCGCGGACACGTTGGGGAGCTCAGCTATCTCAGATGCCTTTCCTGCCACCTTCCTCAGGCCGTAAGCCCGAACAATGAAGATCCCGAACGACCCCCTTTCAAGTGATATGCTTTCCATGGATCCCAGCTCGGGCCACTTAAGACGCCACTTGCAGGGACAAAACAAGCTCGGAGCCTGCCGACAGCGCGGCTTTTGCCCTGCACTTTGTGCACATTCCTCCAACTCTATGCAAAGAAACAGAGGGCTGACGAACATTGACATACCTTAGCTACAATCCTATAAACCTTGCTTATTCAAGAATTGGTGCTGTCGCATTATACTTGTATTGGTAAGGTGATGCAAAGCTGAGGCAAGCCGTTCCGCAGTCACCCCGTTGGTCGCAGCAGTCACCGCGCTCGCCCATGTCACCCTCCCGGCAGGAGCCACCAAACTTGTGAAGAGTTCTGTGCCGTTTGCTCTTGTGGGTCTAGAGGATGAACCTCCACACATTCAACACACTCCATGCGTCCGAAACCCGCTTTCCGCACGGCAGAGCAGGAGCCGCCGCCGTCGTGCCCTCAGCAGCCCTCGACGCCACGGCCTGCGACGCCGCCTTCAGCTCCCCGCCACAATGGGCTGCCACTGCTGGTGCCCAGGCCATGGCTGTGCAGGGCTCTGTGGGTTTAGGGTGGGTTTAGGGTTTAGGGTTGAGGGTTCAGGGTTTAAGGTTTAGGGTTTAGGGTTTAGGGTTTAGGGTTTGGGAAGAAAGGGAGCCTCTGAGTTCTTGGAGAACGCCGCTAGCTGGGCCCAACGGACGGGCCGGACGGATCTCGTCTGAACTTCTGCGCTGACACATCGTAGCGAGCAATAATGATGCAGCGTTGCGTTCTGTCCGGAAGAAGCAATGGAAACGTACTGGATGTGACGCATGGGACTGGATAGCATTGTAGTGAGCCTTTGGGAGGCTTCCTTTCCTTCCCAACTGTCTTGTTTTGTCCGTGCAGGCAACAGGACCTTCCCCCGCGACATCCTCCACACCTACAGGCCCTGCAATGCAGTACATGGGCCAAGCATGCTTCACCAGCGAAAGGCAGGAGAAAGGAGATGTTCCGGAGTCGGACTCGACAGCTTGAGAGAGCGAGAGAGAGAGAGAGAGAGAGAGAGTGCTTCAATGACAGGGCCCAGTCTCTCCTGCGGCCGCCTACGGGCCAACGCGGCAGCGACAGGCGGGCTACTTTAACGACCCGATTTCTCCATAACTCGGAGCCATGAGAATTGAACTGCCATTCATGTGAACTCCTTGGCGCTTTCTGTCCACTGCCTCTTCAGGCCACTCCCCCCGCTGAACGTCCTTCAACGCCCTCGACACCTCCGCGGGTGGCTGAAATTAGACTCGTGTTGTCTTTGGCATCGCACTTGGGCTTCAGGCGAGCCTAGGCTGTTCCAGACTCCTGTCGTCTTGTTGCCTTTCGATGCCGTGGCCTGTCAATTCGGTGCATCGAATCGTAGAAGTATCTGCCCATTTTTTGCGGCTTCTGCCGGACCCAATCTCAGTCCCAAGATCCGAAGCACCCGGGATGCAAATTATCAGCCCGAAATCCTGAAGCTGCGATCCATTCAACAGAAGCTTCTTGGTAGTGATTTTAAACGCCCGCCTCGGCCCGGCTGTACTTGAACCAGGTGCATCGTTTAGGGAAAACAACAGGTAGGTCACACCAGGTGAGGTCTTGCGTGAAGGAGTGCATTTGCTTCAGAATGTGTTTTTAATGTCAGTATCGTTTTCATGCTGAGGCTCTGAGCAATAATCCCCCGCGAAAGGTGGCACATTTCCTGCATTGTCCTATATAGAAGTTACTCTAAAAGCATTACACTTCTCACTACAACCTCCTATATGTTGAAAATGGGAAATCAAGCTTTGCAACAAAGTACACAGAATTTCCAGGCTTTGGCATCAACTTCACGAATGATGTAGTCTAGCTTCGACCGCCGCAAGGTAGAGACGAGGGGGGGGCAAACGGGAGTGGGGGGGGAGGCGGGGGCAGATCCAGAATCTCTGGACGTAGGGCTTGCCAACCCAAAATCCAATTGTAAGGGGGGAGAGGGGGGGTGGGCTTCGATAAAGGGGGGTGGTGGGTCATTGAGGTCGGGAAACAGGGACTCCCTGTGAAAACCTCTGACCGCTTCGGCCCTGAAGGAAGGTGCTGCTACTTTTTATGTGCATGCACATAAAAAGTAGCTACACTGGTTCGAATCGCCATGACTCTGTCATAACTCTTCCCTGGCCCGGAGAAGCCTCGAGAGCGGAGGCACCAGGCCGAGATGCAAAGGTTTGCGTGGACGAGTTGGGTCCCAGCGGCCCGCGGCTTAAGCCTAAGGGCTGTGGAGTGAGGCCTTTTGCCCCAGTAACATCCAGTAGCGAGTTTGGCTTTGCTGATTCTAGGTTTATTCCGACTTGCTGAGGTGACACAGGGTGAAGACTTGAATTTTGCAGCTTGCCAAAGGAGAGCCCTCACGCTTGTCTTGAACTGCTGGCTTCATGTCTGGCTTGACTGGTTGGCCCGACATCTCCCCCAATATTTAGGCATGGCGGGTGTTGAACCTTTTGTACTTCTCTGGCTTCTGCCCTTGAAGCCCAGATCCTCGGGGAAGAAAGCTTTCAAGGTGCGAAGCCTGCGGAGATACGGCCGGCGCCTGGTGAGGCTGGAGTGGTGGTGCTGAGGGTTTCGGGCTTTGCTTCGGAGAAGTCTAGGAACAGAAGACGGGTCACTCGACAGCCAGTGCAAGCGTTGCTTCGATTCGCCGGGGTGGCCGAATGCGAAGAATGTCTCTGCTGCCAGGTGTCTGTCAGCCAGCGGCAAGGCGCAAACAACAGACGGGAAAGTTGAATCTCGGTCCGAGGATGGTAAGTCGCGGTGTCGGCTCCGAGCAGCTCGAAACAGTTCGCAGCGTCAGTGCCTCGTCGCATCCTGCAGGAACCTATCAAACCGTTGGATCTGCGATGCAACCATGATGACAACTTGAGTGTTGCAAAAGGGCTGAGTCATCTAACCAAAACTCAGAATCCGCAGAGGCTCCGAAGTGCCGAAGGCCTCCGGTGCCGGCGCCCATGTCGCAACGCCCTCTCCGGCGAGGGAGGCTGGGACATTTCGCCGGGTCATCGAATCGCTTAGCGGGAGCCGGAAAAATGCCAACTACGCAAGCGTCCAGGAGTCTGCGCCGGCACCTGCGCCTGTGCCTTCGCCGTCTCCGCCCTCGACAGTCAAGGCCGCGAAGACCAGCAGCAAGCTGCTTCGATTGGGCATGCAGGGAAATGGAAGCACTTCAACTCTGTGCCACACCTGCGCAAGTACGAGAGACGAAGAGAAGGAAGCCTTCAGTGGTGCCGAGATGTGTCGAGCACAATCCCTCGATGGTCGATTCTCGCTCGGTGCAGCTTTTCGGGCCAAATCCTGCCAATCCTGGGTTACGGAGGGTGCAGTCGGCTTGGATCAAGCAAGTGACTCTTTGTCTCCAGGGTCGTCAGCTTAAGTAGCATTAGACGGCTGTGAGGCAGGTTGCACCTCGTGGCCGCAGCTGTTGCATGCGGAAATATAGACTCTAGACGATGAGAAATCAGGGCTATTCTCGGGAGTTTGCCTTTCTGTTGGCCTGGAGAGCCCGCCCCGAGCGCCTCCAAGCCCAGCCCAAACTCTGCTGCAGGAAGCTGCCGAGACGCTAGCGCGGCCTCAGGCTGCTGAGGCGGGCGGCTCGCGTTCCATCGCAGCTACTGTAGTTGGACTCTTCGCTTAGGCGGCTTAGCGATTGCAGCTCGTTTTTTTTTGCTCGCATGTTTCCCAGTCCCTGGAGAAGTATCGTCACGCGCAGAAACACAACAGACGACATGCAAGAGCGCACAAGCTAGCCAGCAGCTACGTTTATCTGGCTGAGGAAGCTTCTGTAAGCACTTCCACTTTGTCACTCGAAGCAGAGGCGCCCTCGCAAGCGGTGCCTGTGCCCGCTCAACCTAATGTCAAGGCCACAATCATGTTTGCACACGGAAGATAGCGCGTACTTGCGAGCCGCATGACTTGGACACAGTTCGTGATGTTTCCATCCAGAGGATAGCCAAGACGATTCCGGTGCACGACTCGCCCACCCCACTCTCGATTGAGCTTTGCTCGGAAGTGAGGGTGCTGGAGTTTGCATTTGCAGGAAGACAAAGCTCCAAGCCCAAAGCACGTGGCAGAGCGATGTGTCATGGCCACTCCACACAGGCGCCGACGGCTCCCTCGCCAGAAGCATCAGGCAAGCAGGTTGAGGCTGTTCGCTGCAGACCGGGTGCAGGGACCTAGTGATTGATGATGCTGAACATCCTGCATGACTTTGCGGAACAAGTCTCCGCTAGCCCCACTCTAGTCATGACGGCCTGTTGACGTCATCGCGACCTCAACGGCGTTTCTTCGTCTTTTCCGAGAAATGCAAGGAGCATTTCACGATATGTCGCAGCATGAACCGCAACAGTTTTTCTTTTCTCTGGTAGTGCACATGCGATGGGTTGGAGGCCAGGAAGGCCGTAGAGGAGCCGGCTGTGGCGACAGCGGCAGAGCCTGGCCCAGCAGCCACCCCGGCCCCGGCAGCAGGAGGCATGGACAACTTCAGAGATGTGGACTTCCGTCTTCTGGGCTTGGATTTGTACTTGTGAGTCCACCGCACAACTCCTGGGCATGCGCCAGCAAGGGCGCGGCGCGAGCTCGTAAGCCCCTTTTGACATCTAAAGCCTCAGACTTATTGGCCCCAAAGTACCTATATGGGGACTACATTAAGGCCAAAGTATATACTAATGCCGCAACTCACACTTCAGCCGCAGCAGACGGAGAGACGGAGGGCATCCGCTTTCAGGCCCGACCCGGCCCATGGACCCCCGCCCCCTTCCCCTTCTAAGGGGCCTTTCCTCTGCCTCCCTCCCCTGTCCAGAAAGTCTAGAAAAACTCAGGGCGTGTTGAGGTGTCCGGACTGTTGGAGTTCGGAAAGAGCCGCAGTCCACCCCAGGCGATGCGGGCAGCGGCTGGGACTCTGACGATGATGACGACTGGCGTGGAACGTGCCCTGGCTGGCAACCTGCGGCTTCACGGCTTCAGGCCAGCAGTCTCCTCGTGTCTTCTTTGGGGCTTGGATTTTGGCTTGCTGTCACGCGGGTATTGAAGCCTGTCCACCATGAGGCCTAACATACTCGTGCTGCACACCTGCGGATGAAAGCATGGGCAACTATGTGGCTATGTATTCACACGTAGGCACGCTTGGCTGAAGGTTGGTCCTGTGGCCACGACGTCTTGTAGCGGTGTCTGCGATTAGACCTTTACTACTGCCGATCTACATCACGGGGTTGTTTGGGCTACTAGCAGTCCCGATTCCAACCATCCCCGACTCCACCTTAACACTCATCGGAACACCCAGTCGTCGCAAAGATGGAGTAAGCAAACAGCAGCTGAATCTTACAGCTGTGTGCTTCAGCCAATGCTTTGTTACATCCCAGGATCCTGTCTGATAAAAGCTCCGTATATCCCAGACCCACAAACGGAGCTGGGATGGCAAGATTCCTGTCTGAAGCCGTAGAGGACAGTGGGTCCCTTTTGTGGTGGAGCTCCAATTTTTGAAGCGAAACCCCTAAACCCTAAACCCTAAACCCTAAACCCTTTGGGGAAGTTGTGGCTGACCCGTGGTCTGAGGCAAGCAGCTGGAAGCCCTCTGCAGGTCATGTCGGCTGCACTGGAGCTTTGCGGTGATGGCTTGAGATTTAGGATGATTTAGGGTTTGATGGGTCCGGCAATCTTGCAGAGTCTACTTGGGGCATAATCAAAAATTCGCGTGCGGACTTCCTGCGGAAGTCATCAGATGTTGCAACATCTTCAAGGCCGGAGCCTTGTTCTTCCAAGATTTCCTGAGTGGATGACGCCTAGAGTCGAGAGTCGCCGGCAATGCAAGTCGTCCTATGGTCTCAGGCAACGGAAACTCCGGCTGCCGATGCGGCCAAGCCGGAGGCCAGAAAGTGGCTGAAACGATAGCATGCGATAGCATGGCTGCCGGATCTTGATGCAGGCATCCGCTTCAGCCGTCGCCACGCCGCCGGCAGCGGCACCGCGCGCCCGGGCCTCGCTTCGAGCAGCCTGCTTCCAGCACGTTGGAAGATGTGCGGGACGGCTGTGCTCACGGCCACACCGCATTTTCTAGATGAATTTTCACTCCCCAACTTTCCATGCAGCTCTTCTTCAATCCACATCTAAGCTCTGCGGATCAACTGCAGGAAGAACATAGAAGACAGCGTTCGATGAATGATGTGCCTGGTGGTGTTGATGCCAAAGTCTGCAAGTGTCTTCGTGCAAACGGAGATACCTCGCCGTGTTTGGTTGTTCACATGACGGATGAGATCCTGAGGAGATGTTGCCACAGTTGCGTGATGGATGTTGGTCGAGTTGGCCGCATGCCCCTCGAGTCAGGAACAGAATAGTCCAGAACAGACCGGAGACTAGTCTAGAACAAAGCCGCGCAGAGTCAACCTCGGGAATGCACAGAGTCGGGAGCAGAAGTCAGCACACACCCTACATTAGAATTGAGACCCACGCCCTCTCACGTGGCGATTCCGGTATCATCCATCTTAAACACGCTCCTCAGTTGGCGATTCCAATTCATCGTATATCTCAAAAACGCCTCCTCACTTGGCGATTCGGGTATCATCGATCTCAAACACACGCCGCATTCGGCAATTCCGATTTTTTTGTATATCTTAAACACGCCCCCTCACGTGGCGATTCCGGTATCATCTATCTTAAACACGCCCCCTCATTTAGCGATTCCGGCTCATCGTATATCTTGAACACGCCCGCCATCATGTTTGGCGATTCCGGTATCATCTATGTGAAACATGTCCCCCCATATGGCGATTCCGGTGCATCGTATATCTTAAAGACGCCCCCTGACTTGGCGATTCCGGTATCATCTATATTTATCTATCCTAAACACACGCACCCCCCATTTAGCGATTCCGGTTCATCATATGTCTTAAACACGCCCCATCATATATCTTGAACTCTTGAACATGCCTCCTCATTTGGCGATTCCGGTTCATCCCACACGCCCCCCTCATTCTTCGATTAAACACGCCCCCTCCCTTGGCGATTCCGGCAGCATCTATCTTAAACACACCCCCCAGTTGGCGATTCCGATTCATCGTATATCTTCAACACGCCCGCTCGCTTGGCGATTCCGGTATCATCCAAGCCGTGGGGGAGTGCCGGAAGTTCTCTGAGGAAGTGTCCGGTTTTCATGTAGTGCACCAGCCGGCCCGCTACGCTGTAGCAAAACAGTGGCGGTGAGTGCATGCGTACTACTTAGCCTGTCGTTGTCTTTGGTTTGTCAGCATTACATGTAATCTTAGGTTTGTAACTGTAAGCATTACATTTAACCTTCTCTGTTCCGGAATCAGCCCCTGCTTTGTTCCTGACTGTCCCGCCAACGCTCCTGACTCTGCCTCCGGCTATTCCTGGCTCCTCCCCCCTCTCTGTTCCCGACTGTCCCCCGCTTGATCCCGACTCTTGCGGCCGACTCGCCTCTCATCCGTTGCGTGGTGCGTGGCGACGGCTTTCGTAGCATCCGAGACCTCGCTGAAGCGCAGAATCAGCTGAGTGCTCGGGGCTCGAAGTTTGCGCAACACCAAAGAATGCACCAGCTCTCCTTCCGGAAAACTCAAGACAACAGCGTGCAGAGTTGTTCAGTGCCGTGCTCCAACAATCTGTTCGTTCACACGGGCTTTTCCTTGGCGTTCTTCTGATCGGCTCTTAGGACTTTAACTTTTTGGGTTTCTATATGAACTATAATAAGCAAGCTAAAAGTTTGACTTTTCGGAGGGGTTCAGAAGTCAGCCAAGTTTCTTCATCACCAAGTCCAGGATATAGTGCACCTCAAGCGGACAGCGCCCGGGACTGGTTCATGTTGTGGTACGGGGTTGTTTAGAACGGAGTTAAGCAAAGATCATGGCATTCTCGGGCACAGCTCAGCTTCACGTACCATGGTCGCAGATAGTCGCCGTAACCTTGGAAGTTCGAGCATACAACGCAACCAACCGCACTTCTCTGGGAACCCCCTGTCGTCGCGAGAAACAGCATGTGGCAGCACCAGCATATTGTTGTCAAGAGGTACAAGCAGTCCCGAGCAATCTTCCACAGTTCTGGGGTTGTTGCGTAAAGTGCTGACAATGCCTTTGTCATCGGTTGGAAGTTAGGTGACGAGACGAAGTCGAATGAGCCGCTTCTTAGCGTCGCCATGCAAGTCGTCCTATGGTCTCAGGCGACGGAAACTCCGGCTGCCGATGCGGCCAAGCCGGAGGCCAGAAAGTGGCTGAAACGATAGCATGCGATAGCATGGCTGCCGGATCTTGATGCAGGCATCCGCTTCAGCCGTCGCCACGCCGCCGGCAGCGGCACCGCGCGCCCGGGCCTCGCTTCGAGCAGCCTGCTTCCAGCACGCTGGAAGATGTGCGGGACAGCTGTGCTCACGGCCACACCGCATTTTTCTGCATGAATTTTGGGGCACCCCCGAACTTTCACTAACTTGCCATACAGTTCTCTTCACTTTTTCACGCGGTTTGTCCCTGCTGTCCCGTGGTTCTTAAGGTCAATAGTTGTTTTTGCCAGCTGGCTGACACGCCGCCGGATACCCTTTTTGGGCCTGTTTGCGTTCTTGCTGTCTCGAGGTTTTGGTCTACAGCGTGCGTTTTCCTCGGGTTTTTGAACATTTCTTCTTTGTTTGTTCGTTGTTGCTTTTTTGTTGATTTTGTTTGCGTTGCGATCTTGGTACAAAACTCAAGGTTCAGCTGTTCGTTAGCGCGTTTTATGCTGGAAGGGCCGTTGTGACTGCATTTTTATGGGTTATTCGCGGTTTTTTGTTGTTGTTTCTGTCCTTTCTCAAACTATCGTCGTGTCACAGAGCATCCATGGGCCAACCATGATAACGTCCACACAGACTCCTTCCGTTCCCACACAGGATGTATGTAGCAACCATGTTAACGTCCACATAGACTCCGTCTGTTCCCAGAGAGCATCCATGTGGCAACCATGTTAACGTCCACGCAGACTCCGTCCGTTCCCACAGAGGATGTACGTTGCAACCATGTTAACGTCCACACAGACTCCGTCCATTCCCACACAGCATCCATGTGGCAACCATGTTAACGTCCACAGAGACTCCGTCCGTTCCCACAGAGGATGTATGTCGCAAGCATGTTAAAGTCCACACAGACTCCGTCCGTTCCCACAGAACATCCATGGGCCAACCATGATAACGTCCACTCAGACCCCATCCGTTCCCGCAGAGCATCCATGGTCCCACAATGATAGCGTCCACACAGAGTCCGTCTGTTCCCACACAGCATCCATGTGGCAACCATGTTAACATCCATGCAGACTCCGTCCGTTCCTACAAAGCATCCAAATGCCAACCGTGTTATCGTCATGTTTTTTTGGCTAACTTCGCTAACCTCCCGAAATTGCCCTTAGGAGCCAACTTGCCGTAAATTATAGTACTTTCGGGTCTTGGGAATGTGCCAAAATGCCGGGCAGCAGGTCAGCCACCTACCTTGTTTTTGTAGCGGTCTGTTAACAATTTGAGGTTGTCTATTCTAGTTTCTTCCGAGCAGTTTGCCCATCCTTCTCAAATTCTGTAGTGGGTTTCGAGCGGCTTGCTCCACGTCTTATCGAACTCTGGAAGCGGTTGCTCCTTTTGCTCTCTCTCTCGAGTGAGCCGCTTGCTCTCCTCGCCGGGGGTACCGTGTGCACAATTCTTCAGCCCTGTTGGAGTGCCTTGCTTCTCCGTGTCAAACTCTGCAGATGAGCGGCTTGAAGCTCTTTCTCAAACAACCAAAGATGCGGTTAACCTGTGATGGACGACGCAAAGCGCCGATGGTAGAGGGGCGGCATGCTCATGGAGTCTCCGACGACGACGACGACTGCTGCTGCTGCCAACTGCTGCTGGTCCTCCTGCTACTCCTACCACACTCTCACGAGTCCCACTACTACTACTACTACAACAACAACAACAACAACAACAACTACTACTACCACTACTACTACTCCGACGACTCCTACCTCCTAGTGTTACCACGCTCAGTGCTCCGGCTTTGTCTTGCCTTGCAACTTGCCTCCCCTTGCAACACGTGCTTCCAGGAACCACGTGCCATGATTTTTAGCCTTCTGCAAACGAGTGCCGCCTGGCTACGAATACGGCTCCTGGCCTGCTAGTATACTACCAACAACTGCTGCTACAATCAAAAACTGGCTTCTCCTTCTGCCACTGTTTCTATATTTTTATCCCTGGAAGCCTGGAAGCCCAGAGCTCAGCGCTCGAATGGAGACACCAAGGATGAGCTTCTGCAAGAGAAGTCGCCCTCGAACCGGAGCACCACCTCGGACAAGCACAAGGCCCCTGCAACAAAAGCCGTGCTTTCAAGTCCAAAGGGCTGGGTTTCGGGTCCGGTACGTATGGTCCGTTGCGGCTCGGTTCTGTACTGTCTCGCGCATTTCGAGATGTCCACCTGTGGAAACCGCAAATTTGCAACAGCGTGCAAGAGGCCAAGACACTGCTCTCTCTCTCTCTCTCTCTCTCTCTCTCCCTCTCTCTCTCTCTCTCCGCTCTCTCATTCAGCAGGGAGCAGACCATGCCTTCTGTACGCAAAGGCCGCCGCAGCCGCTAATGCCGCAACCAAAAAGGCCTGCACCGGTGGGAAGCGACGGGAAGGTCCCTAGGACGGTGCTGGGACTCCAGAAATTCCGGTAGGTGAGTGGTTCGTTGGGACCTCACTCGGTTTCTTTGCTGTAATCGGCTCGCAGATCCCTGAACTTGAGATCGAGGTGCCGGTCCAGTTGGGTGGGACCCGAGTCCAATGTCTAAGCAATCCGACACGGAAGAGGTCAATTCTGAAATTCGCCCCTCCGGCGGGCGTTTACACTCCAGAAGCCACATTGCAACGATGTCAGCCTTAAGTTAGACTTGGGGAAGGTTAGGGCAACTTCGCACCAGTCGTCACCCCTCCAGACTCTGCTAGGCAAACAGGTTATAAAGCCTCGCAGTAGAAGCCGGAGACTGCCTTCAACTCCGAATTTTCCCCATCGCGCGCGCGCGCACTAACTTCCTGCCTTGGCATTGGCGAGGTCTCCCGGTTCAGCCTTTGGGGGAGCGGCAGCACCAAGAGCAAGAAGTGAGTTCTACCTGGGGACTCGGGACTTCCTCAGTCCAGCCTGGACGCTGCGAGAAATTCATTCGTCGAGGTTCTCTGCGTCTGTGTCGGGGTATTGCGCGGTTGGGGAGGACATCTTGTCGCAGATGATCTTAATCATTGTCACCCTTACTGTTCTCATTGAATCATGCTCCTAAACCCTAAACCCTAAACCCTAAACCCTAAACCCTAAACCCATTGAATCATGCTATTCGCATTGCTCAAGGGAGCCTTGGGGTAGGCCCGGCAGATCTGGAAACCAGACACTGCCGGAGTGAAAACGTAGCTAGGCCCACGTAGGGCCGGGCCGTGGGCCATCCTCGGTCTTATGCTGTAGAAATCTGGAAGACCCTTAAGGCCCTGGTGCGAACCATAAAGGAAAATCCTATATCAGCGATAGGCGATACGGTTTTGTTTAACGCACATAGGGTTTGGGGTTTACACGTTTAACGCAGATGGAAGTACGTTAGATTAGAGGCTGTCGCCCTTTTGTGGCGTTAGCGCTCGGGGTCGAATCGTCGACGAAACCCAAAACCCGAAGCAGCCACCCTTCATCCCTCAGCCCCAAACGCGAAAGCTCGAAAGCCTAAGTAAGCCTTCGATGAAAGTCGCCTTGGCCGAACTTGGACTCACAGCCCTGCTGAGTCGACAGCGTCAGCTTTAAGGGCTTCCCGCAGCCTCCGGGAGATGAGAGGCTAGGAGCAGCAGATGCCTTAAACCCTAAACATCCCTAAACCCTAAACCCTAAACCCTAAACCCTAAACCCTAAACCCTAAACCCTAAACCCTAAACCCTAGGCAGTAGTGATGCTAGTGATGGTAGTGATGGTGGTGGTGGTGGCGACTCGGAGACTCTTTGTTTTGTAGTTTTGCCATCATCGGTTCTACGTTTGTCTTGCATGACTTCGCTTCTAGACCGGTCGTTGGAGGTGTCTGCGACAGGCAGTTCGCACTCCTTGTTCTCCGTGTCTCTGCTCGATTGCTCTGTGGCTTTTTCCAGCATGTCAAGGAATGTCCCGATCCCCTGGCCTGTTCCGATTCGCTTCAGCCTAATATATCTGTTTGCATAATTACTAGAGTGTTCCTCGGCGTTCCCGATTTACTGTACTATGGCTAACGGCCCCTATACGGATCCGCAGGTGCGGTTGCCTACAGATCCCGGTAGTTTTCTTAATGGAATCAAAGAAGAGTGGTGATCCGTTCTGCCTTACTGGCAGTTGCTCTGACACGCCTCCTCTTCACCTGCAGGAAGCCTTCTGATGCTTGGATGCACCCTTGCTGTGCGTCCGACACCGGTTCTGCGCTTCTGCGCGAGTGCACTGCCTGGTGGCCACCGCTAGGATGAAATTTCAAGAATCCTCGTAGATCCCCAGCCTTCGAGCGGTTTCGTGCCACCAGACCGTGCACCTGGCAGAGTCGCGTCTCACCCCTGTTTGTCGGCGTGTTCCGTCGCGTTCCGTGGCAGACCGTGGCGGGCGGGCGAAAGCGAGGCTCCAGTTGATGGCATGTGACTGCGTCTTGTTGTGGGACTTCCAATCTTCTATTCTACAGCACTACAACGAGACTTTATTTGCTGACTTTCGCACGTCCAAACTGGATCGTACAACCTCGGAAGTTGCGACCAATATGCTGAACCCCAACATCCGGATGACCGATTGCATGCTGCGATGCTGAGGTGTTGTTTCGAGAAGTGCCGTGACACAGGATGGCGGCTGGAGACGCTTTTCCGAAATTCAGGGTGAACACGGAACAAGGCCCCAAGTCAGAGCAGCGTGGTCTGCTATCATCGCCTTACTTGCTTGTCGAGCAGAGTCCGCCGGTGTCGTTTTGGTTCAAAGCTGAATTGAGGCGGCAGCCCCACAACGGGATCAGAAGCTCAGTCGTCGAAGCCCCTAACCCTCAACAGCGCAATGCACCTAAGACTAGCCCCGTGATTCCAGAGCCAAGAGCCCCCAGCCCACTCCACTTCAGCCGCCGCCCCACAACCCCCCAGCTCCAGCAACCAGGGCCAGGGCCTCAAGCACACCAAACTTCCCAAGACAAGCTTGGGCGAAGAGCCTTCTGGTGCCTTGCCATGAGCACGGCCAGTGGGGAGCTGAAGAAGCAGCGCCCCAGTGCCGCTGGTCAGGAGCCGAAAACCCGGCGCCTCTCCTTCATCAACTGCGGCTTGGCTCCTACTTAGGGTTTAGGGTTTAGGGTTTAGGGTTTAGGGTTACTCTCCTGTTGGCTACCCTTTCCGCATTCGCACGATTGCATGGGCTGCAAAGGAAAGATGGGCCCCAAACCCATGCTCAAATGCAGAGAGGAAGCTATAACAGTCCTAATGCCGGGTTGAGCAACTGCTGCGCTCGCTTTGAGGCTCTGTAAATCAGATCGAATCCGCCATCCAGACAGAGTGGGCGGCACCTTGGCAGCATCGCTGTGCGTTGATGGCTTACAGCAAGGTCTTGCATGCCTCATGCATACGACTTCAAGATGGGTGCTTCGGTTCTTTTTGCATCATGTTGGGTCGGCGAAATGCCTCTGAGAATCATCGCCCAGATCCTGGCGAGTCGCGTTGGATGTTTCTGTTCGTACAGTCTTTAGTCCTTGTGCGAGGAGCATCTGCCCCGGAGCGAGAACGGGTGTTTGAGCCATGTATTGCCCGTAACTCCACTACAGAGACGAGCCCCTGGCCCAGTGCTCAACAGCCGATTGTATGCTAAAGCTGCTCAAACCGAAATCTGACAGGTAGCCACACATGCTTCTGCAAGCTTTTCCGTTATGGCGTGTCTGTGCGAGGATTGGCGGTTCAATGGCAGCTCCCCTTGCATTGATGATCCCGTACTCCACTGGATGTCAAGCTCTGGGTAGAACTTTCGGCACGGGTGGGATGAATGCAATTTGAATCTTCGGAGTGCTCGGATCTTGGAAGGCCTTGACTGGACAAAAATCGTGTTAAAAGGTGTGAACGCGTGTTTGCACCTGGTTGTGCAGACAGCTGTGTGCAGAGTTGCATGCACAGATACACGGCCGTACATACCGACATCCATACACATACATGGGGGCTGTCCTAAAACCGCT